CCTCTTCAAGATACAACAGGGGCAGTGTGTCCAGCATGATGTCTCGCGATACGCTGGAGAACGCGTTGGTGGCATCCTCGTTGACGATCACGTGCGAGTAGCCCTGCCTCTGCAAACGCCAGGACGTGCAGCACTGCGTTAAAATCGCATCTTCCCGTCTGCGCTTTTTTGCAAACCCATGACATACATATGGTAGTGCATCCCGATGCCGACGTGCTCTGACCCATAAGTGCGAATTCCACGCCTTGCCCAGCGGGCAGAATAAATGAATCCAGCGTTGACTCTCAGCTCCCAACTTTCCGTTATGCTTGTCCAAACCACAGCAGGAGGATACATCAAAGATCAAAGGAGTGGACGCTGTCCGCCGAAAGCAAGCTAAGACATCTAAAAAGCGCTCCGTAAAAGCCGTCGAAGTCGCAGGAAGAAGATCCGCCCCCACTCCACCACCACGAAATTGCTCCCAGCAAGCGGGATCCAGGAGCAGAAGCCAGAGCTCCGAAGGTAAAGACCAAAACGGAGTTGCCCGTCTTTTTGGAGCACGCCTCAGCTGCCGCACGATGCCCATCAAATCGGTACGAGCGTCCGCTATGTTCTCCATCTGCATGGCGTTGTAGCGAACCTCCTCGGAGACATCCCAACCGTCGGAGTGAGGTCTTTCAAAACGATCCAACAATTCCTTTTGCAAGTCGCATGTCGCAGCACCGAGGCCACCCTCGACCGCAGGTCGGCACAGAAAAGCGGAGATCTCATGAGCTTCACTATTTTCCGACTTCAATGCAAAATACTTCCTGTGCCGAGGACCTGCCCCACGCCTAGATAGTCGTCTGATAAGCCTCTGGACGTTGTAGTGGTCGTGCGACTTCCATGCGTTGTTCAGCTCCAAGGTCAGTGATGCCTCTCGTTCTTTATTGATCAGCTTCGAGAGGCGACGAATCCGAAAAGTCGTTCGTGCCAGCTGAAGTTCCAGTTCCAAACGTTGCTCCAGACGGGCCACCTCATACGTACTAAGAATACCAGAACTGCCCAGACTCCCAATGTGTATGCCCTTGAACTTCTTCCGTGCTTGCAACAATTCTGAGCGCTCCCTTTCCAATACTGATTTTTCTGCCTCCAGGTCGGATTTCTTTGAGAAAGTGTCCATCGCCGTCGTAGTCATCACGCTCATGATCGAGTTCCATACTTCATCAGGTGTAGCTCGGGCACACAGGCTGATCCATTCGTCCTCGGGGATCGACGTGACTGCCGAGTGTATGGCCTCGATCGCATCCGTGCACGCGGTGCCCTGAGAGACAGAGCGCATAATCCTATCGAAATCCCATGGCGGCGTTCTGTCCACAACTGAGCCTGAAAGTCATACTTCACTTGCAGATAAATGGGTCTGTGCTCTCGATCGTCCAGCGTCGAAATCGGTTGAAGTCGTCGACCAGCTCCGTGCAGAATCGTGCATTTCTCCACGTGTAGGCGCAGCTGCTGAGGGATCACCAGGAAGTCGATCCGAGACGAAGAGTCGCCCACCCCGTGGAATGTAGGTCCCAGCGGGTAAAATGTGTTGATTGCGCACATGTGTGTATCCCCCATGGTCTGACGCAGAGCACTGCCCGCGACGCCCTCAAGGTCCGCGTCGAATTCACCGATACAAGCATTCACCCCCACCTCCTCCTCAACAGGAATAGCCTCGCCCTCGAAGATGAACTCACGAGCTCTGCCCAACCCGTCGTTCAGGTCCATGCCAACAATGGGAGTGCACCGTCCCCCCGTGGATAATAACAAATTTCGTAGCCAGGCCAGCATCTTGTGTACCTTCCGTTTCTGCTCATCACGGCCCGCCCGCATGCTCGAGTATACTGGAAAATACAGAGTCACGAACAACACATCAAGGGATCCAGACTTCAGGCGCACGGCGCCACACCTCCCCTCCAAATCCACGGGCGGGCAGAAAATACGTCTAATGCAGCGCTGCGGGAAGACCTTACTGTGCAGCATGATACTCGTTCCACATGATTTGTTCGAAGACCTCGAGAAACCAAACGATAATTCATAATGACGAGAGTGGCGGAACACACGATGAGGTTCGTCCGCCAGCTTTCTCCGACCTGTTCCCTGCAATAGGACCGCCCCCACGTTCCCGAACTCCGATGAGACCTCTTCCCCTCGCATTCCACACAGATGCATTGGGTTGTACGTCACAGCACGCAAAAATCTGGAAGGGGCCGCACCCGATGTCGTCGTCATTGTCCACGCTGTCGCCGCCGCACACGGCGAGGAGCCTGCGGCGGCGTCGGGTACGGTCCGCTCCCTCTCACGGAGAGCGCGGGCCCCGCATGGGCGGAGAGCACATCGCTGCCTCTGAAGGGAGTGCCCTGGCGGTTCCAGAAGCTGCGAAGAAGAGTGGGATTTGTGCCGCGACAGCAGCTGGAGGAGGAGGAGGAGGAGGAGGAGGAGGAGGAGGAGGAGGAAGAGGAGGAGGAGGACGAGGAGGAGGAGGAGGAGGACGAGGAGGAGGAGGGGGGGGAGAGCACCAGGAGAAGGAGAACGAGGACCACCAGGAGGAGGAGGAGGAGGAGGAGGAGGAGGAGGAGGAGGAGGAGGAGAGAGCACCAGGAGGAGGAGGACGAGCAAGACGAGGAGGACGAGAACGAGGACGAGCAGGAGGAAGAGGAGGAGGAGGAGGAGGAGGAGGAGGAGGAGCAGGAGAAAAATGATGATGAGGAGGAGGAGGAGGAGGAGGAGGAGGAGCAGGAGAAAGAGGACGAGCAGGAGGAGCACGAGGACGAGCAGGAGGAGGAGGAGGAGGACGAGCAGGAGGGGAGGGCGGCCGGCTGCCCCGGCCGGCTCCTACACATGGCTGTTAGGTTGCTTTGCCGGGATAATTTTTGTCTGCAGCGAGTCGCGACCCTGAGATCTGGGCGGTGCAATTTCTTCGCACTGGGCATTTTCGCCCGATTTCGGACGCTGGGACCCTCACAGGTCGATCCGGCTCGGAGCATGACGCGAAAAGGTTGGGGTATAGGGCTCTGGTGGCGAAGTTGTGTGCAATGCTGCATTTTTGGGCAACGTCGGATCTGGAGGGGGTGCCGGAAAGCTGTTTGTGAGCAGCGAGTCGCGAACGGCGAAAGTATCAGTATCCGCGTCCTCGCAGCCTGGATTCCGAGGAACCATCCCGCGGATGCGCGGTCGAACGGCCACACTCCGCGCAGGGCATCCGCGACACCACGCCGCGTATCCTCGGGGGCGGCCAAGAGGGGGGTGTCCAAGAGGGGGGGGTGCAAATCATGGCCGGCGGCATGAGCGCGGCCCAAGGGGGGGGGGCAAGGGACGTAGTGAATAAGAGGAGGCGCCATGAGATCTGAAAAATCACGGCCCACGCCATGAAATCCCCCCCCATCCCTAGTCATCACCCCCCTCTTTGCCGCCCCCGGTCTCCGCGGGTTCGCGTCCCAGGGGGACCGGGGCCGCGAAGCCACGGATATGTGTTTCGTCCCCGTGCGGGAGCGGACGCCAACGCGTTCGAGTGGCCGCCCGGCCCCGTCGGGCTTCAGACACAATAAGACAGTTGGAACACAAGTACTACTACTACGACTACTACTACTACTACTACTACTACTACTACTACTGCTACTGCTACTGCTACTACTACTACTACTACTACTACTACCACCACCACCACCACCACCACCACCACGACTACTACTACTACTACTACCACCACCACCACCACCACCACCACCACCACCACCACCACCACCACCACCACCACCACTACCACCACTACTACTACTACTACTACTACTACTACTACTACTACTACTACTACTACTACTACTACTACTACTACTACTACTACTACTACTACTACTACTACTACTACTACTACTACTACTACTACTACTACTACTACTACTACTACTACTACTACTACTACTACTACTGCTACTACTACTACTACTACTACTACTACTACTACTACTACTACTACTACTACTACTACTACTACTACTACTACTACTACTACTACTACTACTACTACTACTACTACTACTACTACTACTACTACTACTACTACTACTACTACTACTACTACTACTACCACTACACTACTCGCGGGAAGCGGAAGGACGAGGAGGGGAAGGACGATTTTGATTGCCAGTCGAGAGCTTAATTAGGAGGGAGCCCCTGGTAGCATGAAAGACTTGTCGCTGTTATGCCCTGCTAGCGGAGAGCGCGTCCAAGGACAACTCGGGATATGGGCGCCTGGGGACCGCGACGTGGATAGCGTGTCGCGCCGAACCGTGGTGGGCCAGAACCGCCGGCCGACGCCCCAAGCCAGAACTCCAGACCGTCTTCTGGCTACACGCAAGAGTGACGCTACTAGGCAAGAGTGACATCTGGTACGCGGCTTAACGGGGGATGCGGGGTGGTCAAACCTGGGCGTGCAAGCCGCTGCTACCGCTTCGCGTTCTGCGATCGGAGGACCCCACTGGGCCCGCACCAGAGGTCAATCCGGCGAAAGGCCGCTCATAATTATACACTGGGTTTCTTAATAAGCGTGGGGGGGTACGCCCCCGACGGGGGTCAACCTCGCCTCGTCGTCGCGCCGCGACGGGGGTCGATGTGGGGCTGTCGGCGGGGGTGACGCCCCCCCCGACGCTTATTAAGAAACTCGGAGTAGTCGAGTCGAGTATCCTAGTCTAGTCGAAACTCGGAGTAGTCGGCGAAAGGCCGCTCTTAAGAAGTCTAATCGAATATTCCTTTGAGCAGGAACCGACCGTCCCGGCATTTCTATAGCCCTACCACGAAATGTTCGATGAACCCCCAAATTTTCGGATAACAGAAACAATGCTCTTAGAACATTAATCCGATGTGTTAAAACAAGACAGTCCCAGCCAGAAATGTTCTAAGAACACTTCGTCGAAACCACAAAAGGTTCTTAGAACAGTGCTAGGTAGGACTGCAGGCACGCCAGGACGCTTCGCCACTGCTTGATTCCTGTGGCTGGGAACCGTACAGCAGATCGTACAGGCGGCTCTGCCTCCACGCCTCCACGACCGGCCCGGCAGTCGGCTCTGGCGCCGGCGGCTCCGCGGCTGGCGGCTCCTGGGCGGCCTGCGCCTCCGCGGCCGCGGCGGCCGGCGGATCCTCGGCGGCTTGCGCCTCGGCCGCCGCCGCGGCCTGCGGTTCGTCGGCGGCCGCCGCGGGCGGCGGCTCGTCGACGACCTGCGCCTCGGCCGCCGCCGCGGCCGAGGGCACCTCGGCGGGCGCCTCGGCGGCCGCCGCAGCCGAGGGCTCCTCGGCGGCGGCCTCGGCGGCCCCCCTGGGCGGCGGCCGAGCGGCCGCTACGGGCAGCGATCCGAGCGCCGCCCCTCGCACGGCCCCTGCCACGAGCGCCGCCTCGCGCCGCTGCTGCTCTCCCGCGCGCTGCGCCTCCGCCTCGGCCGCCGAGTCCGCCGCGGCCCACGCCTTGGCCAGGCGTGCCTGCCGCTCCGCGAGCATCTGCTTCGCGATGGCGGCCTGGGCCTTGCTGAGGGCCGCCGCGTGGCCCAGGTCCCGGAGCACGCCCTCGACAATGCTGCAGTGCTCCGTGCACGACACGGTCCGCGGGTCCGCGCGGTTGGCCTCCGTGGAGAACTTCGCCGCCGCCAGCGTCTCTCGTATCCTGGCGATGCGCGTGCAGTCCCCCCCGAAGAGCTGGCAGAGCAGGCCGCGCTCGGAGGGCCCCATCGCCGCGCTCATGGAGTCCCGCAGCTGCTCGATGCACCGCAACATGTCCGCCTCGTGCGCCTGCGCCTTCACCTGGCGGGTTCCGGGAACCCTGAACCAAAAGCTTTGCCATCTCGTTTGGGCAGGGACCGACCGTCCCGGCATTCCTATAGTCCTACCACGAAATGCTCTTAGAACCCAGAAATGTTCTAAGAACAAAAACAATGTCCTTAGACCATAAGCCTGAGGTGTTCAAACAAGACAGACTCCGCCAGAAATGTTCTAAAAACATGTCCTGGAAGCCACACGAGGCTCTTAGAACATTGTTCGGTAGGGTTCTAGGCGGGCCAGGACGCTTCGCCACTGCTTGACTCGTGGCAGGCCGATGTTTGCTTCCGCCGGCTTCCGCCGCTGGCCTTCCGCCTGGGGGGGGGGGGGCGGCCAGCTCCCGCGGCCCTCCGCCGCCTCGCCTCCGCCGAGGAAGCGATGGCAATTTCTCCTTCGGCCCTCGAAGGCGAGCGCCCCACCTTTCTTGCCGCATCACGCTCGATGTTCCCTATGATGGTGCCAGCCTCGTCGAGCAGCTGGTCGATCTCCTCGGCCGTTCTCGGCGAGGCCATGGCACACCGCCGCCGCCGCGCGCCCTCGTGCGCGGAGACGCCTCGCGGCCTCTGGCCAGCGGTCTGGAAACCGCATGGCTGGTTGTAGGAGCGGGCGGGGAGCAGCAGCAGGAGGGGGGAGCAGCAGAAAGAGGAGTTTAATGATGCTGAGAATGATGATGATGATGATGATGATGATGATAATGATGATGCTACTGCTGATGATGATGATGATGATGCTGAGGATGATGTTGGTGCTGATGGTGATGCTGAGGGTGATGCTGGTGCTGATGGTGATGATGTTGGTAGTGATGCTGAGGGGGGTGAGCATGCTGAGGTGTACGCTGCTTATGATGATGATGGTGACGGCGACGACGCCGATGACGATGATGATGACGATGATGATGTTGATGACAATGATGATGCTTATGATAATGCTGATGACGACGATGACGGGGTAATGAGTGCGATGATTGAGATGGCCATGCTGATGATGATGATGATGATGAAGCTGATGATGATAATGGCGACGGCGGCGATGATGATGGAGCTGATGATGATGAAAAAGATGATGGCGACAACGACGACGATGATGACGATGACGAAGACGATCACGATGATGATGATGACGATCATGATGCTGATGATGATGTTGATGAATGTGATTATTGTGATGGTCATGATGGTGCTGATGATGCAGATTATGATGATGATGATGATGATGATGATGATGATGATGGCGACGACGACGATGATGATGTTCATGACGATGATGCTGAAGATATTGATGGCGAGGATGATGATGACGATGATGGGGATACGTGTGATGACTGTGATTGTAATGATGATGCTGCTGACGATGATGGCGACAACGACGATGATGATCATGACGATGATGCTGATGATATTGATGGTGATGATGACGATGACGACGATGATGATGCTGATGATGATCATGAACATGACGATGATGCTAACGATGCTGATGATGACGAAGACGATGACGATGATGACGACGGCGACGATGATGATGGCGATGAGGGTTACGATGATGATGATGATGATGATGACGGTGATTAGTGAAAGGATTGTGGTGGTACTGATGATGCCGATGATGATGAGGATGATAATGACGACGACAATGATAATGATGGTAATGGCGAGGACAGCGATGATGATGATGATGATGATAATGATGATGATGATGCTGATGATGATGATGATGAAAAAGATGATGGCGACGACGACGACGATGATGACGATGACGATGACGATCATCATGATGATGATGATGACGACCATGACGCTGCTGATGGTGATGATGAGTGTGATGAGTGTGATGATTGCGATGGTGATAAAGATGATGCAGATGATTGTGCTGATGCTGATGATGATGGCGACAACGACAATGGTGATCATGACGATGATGCTGATGATATTGATGGTGATGATGATGATGACGATGATGGGGATTAGTATGATCACTGTGATTTTAATGATGCTGCTGCTGCTGACGAATATGGCGACGACGACGATAATGATGATGACGATGATGATGATGATGACGATGATGATAACGACGATGATATGATGATGCTGATGCTGATGCTGATGATAAAAATGACGATGATGCTAACGATGCTGATGATGACGAAGACGATGACGATGATGACGACGGCGACGATGATGATGGCGATGAGGGTGACGATGATGATGGTGACGGTGATTAGTGAAAGGATTGTGGTGGTACTGATGATGCCGATGATGATGATGATGATGAGGATGGTAGTGACGACGGCAATGATAATGATGATCATGATGATGGCGACAACAGCGATGGTGATGGTGATGATGACGATTATGATGATGACGGTGAAGCTGATGACGACGATGATGGTGATGAATGTTATGATTGTGATGGTAATGATGATGCTGATGATGATGATGATGATGATGATGATGGCGACGACGACGATGCTGATGATCATGACGCAACCGATAGTGGAGATGATGATGGACATTAAAATGATGATTATGCTGACGATGATGGTGATGATGTCGATGATGACGATGTCGGCGACGAGGATGATGATGAGGACGATGACGATGGCGAATACGATGATGATGCTGATGCTGATGATGATTGCAAGGGCGATGCTGATGATTATGATGATGATGACGACGATGATAAGAAGTGCAATGATGGTGATGATAATGATGATGCTGTCCATAATAATGATGGTGATGATGGTGATGATGCTGATGATGATGGCGACGACAACGACGACGATGATGATGACGATGACAATGATGCAAATTATGTATATGATGATGCTCACGATGAAGATGATGATGAGTGCAATGATTGTGATTGTAATGGTGATAATGCTGCAGATGATGATGATGATGATGATGGAGACGACGACGATGATGATGACGATGAGGATGAGGATGAAGATGATGATGATGCTGGTGATGCTGATGATGCTGGTGATGAATGATGATGATGGTGACAATGACGGTAACGAGTAGAATGACGATGCTGCTGATGATGATGACTGTGATGATGATCGCGACGACGACGACGACGACGATGCTGACGATGACGATGACGATTATGATGAAGATGATCATAAGGATGATGATGATGATGATGATGATGATGACGCTGATGAGGATGAGTGTAATGATTGTGATGGTAACGACAATGATGTTGATGATGACGATGGCGACAAAGAAAATGATGATGATGATGGCGACGACAATGAGGATGACGATGGTGATGAAGAGAGGTGATGATGATGATGATGATGGTGATGCTGATGATGCTGATGATGACGATGACGATGACAATGCTGGTGATGAATGTAATGATTGTGATGGTAATGATGATGATGATGATGATGATGATGATGATGATGATGATGATGATGATGCTGATGATTATCATGGTGCTGCTGCTGATGATGATCCCAACGCCGCGGACTCAATGCAGTGCACCTACGCCGTGTCCTCCTGAAATGGGCCGCTACCTGTAAGCGCGTTTCACGTGCAGCCTGCAGGGCCATACGAACGACACCCACGTCTCCTTCAAGGCGGCCCCTTGCATAAAAATCATGGGTGCCGAGGCGTGTGGGATGCTCGGCTGTCCTCCTCGCCCTGTACGAATCTTGAGGGGTTCAGACTCCTGCTCTAGACGCCCCGATACTCTCCCAACCTAGCTCCAACGTGGCCCAGGATACATATATATATATATATATATATATGCTGGAAAATGTTCCTCCTGAGCCCTGGATGCCAAATGCGAGCCGTCGAAATGGCGGGGTATCGTGCTCCCCTTCCTCGCTTTCATACGTCTCCTCTACTTCGCCCCGTATTTCGGGCCCCGGGACCCTCACGGATCGATCCGGCTCGACAAATGCAGCAGAAAAATGGGGTCCAGGGCTTCGGTTGTGATTCTTGCGATGTTGAATGTGTTTCGCAACGTCGGATCCGGATGTCAGGGAAGGAATCCAGGGTCAGGAAGTTGGTGGAACTCCAGTCGCGGAGTGGCCATGGATATCATTGCCGCCCTCAGGAGATCGGGGCCCCCCCCCCAGGGTCTGAAGCCTCACGGGCTCATGCCTTGACCGGCGCCCCCACTGTATCGCTGTGTCCTTCGGGAATGTGTCCGGGGCGCCCAGGCTCGAGAGCGCCCACGAGGAGTGCTCGCAAATCGTGGCCCGAGGCATGTGCGGGGACGACGGGGGAGGGGGGGGAGGGGGCATGGGACGCGTTGGAAGAAGAGGAGGAGGAGGAGGAGGAGGAGGAGGAGGAGGAGGAGGAGGAGGGGGAGGAGGAGGAGGGGGGGGGGCGTGAAAGCTGGCGAGATATCATGGCCCTGGCCATGGTTGACCCTTGGACGCCCAGAATGTGTACGGACAAAGCTGGGCACGATGCCCAACAGCCAATGCTGTCCCAAGCCGACACCGCCTCTTTTGGGCAAGCGGCCTTCTGCCTCAAATGGGCAACGTCCGCGGCGACACCGACACCGAGTCCTGCTCAGAATGAACAGGAACTGCTGTCGGTCTTTGTGCCCACTCTTTCTGTACCCATTCCTATCGTACCAACCCTAATTCATCACCCCCCTCGTGGCCCCCCCCGACAAGCGTCATGACGCCCGACCAGGGCTCGATCACTGCACTCCGTGAGCGTCGCTCTGCATCTCTGGGCGCGAGGCCGCCCCCGCGAGCGTGCGCCGCTGCGCGCAGAGGGCCGTGCACACACTCGCGGAGCCGGCGTCGCGAACAGAGCATGTCTCCTGGTGAGGCTTCGGGCTGCGCGCAGACAATCCCCTCCAGGTAGTCCCGGCGGGCCTCTCAGCAGGCCCCCCGGAGCAGTCCCCAGCGGGCCGCCACAAGCCCCCCGAGCAGTTCGGGGCCGCCTCCACACCCTGGCGCCCGCCGCCTCCCGAGGCTCCCCTTACCCTTGGGCACTCCGCGCCCCAGAGCTGCGGTGCTGAGGCCGTGCTGGACTGCTCGGGGGGCGGGCTGCGGCCCGCCGGGGCTCCCCTGGGGGGCCTGCTGAGGCCCGCTGGGACCACCTGGGGGGGGGCCGTCTCTGCGCAGCCCGGAACCCTACCAACATATCACCTGTTTCTTGAGGAGGTGGAGGACAGAGGGGGAGTAGGAGGAGGAGGAGGAGGAGGAGGAGGAGGAGGAGGAGGAGGAGGAGGAGGAGGAGGAGGGGGAGGGGAGGAGGAGGAGGGGGAGGAGGAGGAGCAGGAGGAGGAGGAGGAGGAGGAGGAGGAGGAGGAGGGGGAGGAGGAGGACACATCTGGGGTTTCCTGGGCCCCGAGGCCGCCGCGAAAAACGACTCGGGACGGAACGGGGCAGCCCCCAGACATGATCGAGGAGCGAGTGAAGGGGTGGCCTCCGCACTGCAGCCAGACGTCGTGGACGCACTGGCCCGGCTCGGTGCACACCCGGGCCAGTCAGGCTTTTGCAAGATCCTGCGACGTCCTGCACGCAGGCCCTCCTCCTCCTCCTCCTCTTCCTCCTCCTCCTCCTCCTCCTCCTCCTCCTCCTCCTCCTAGGGTCAAGGCACCCCCTGGCACTGCAGGACAAAAATCTGCGGCGCTCTGGCTGCCGCCCTGTTGCACTCCCCCCCCCCGTCTCAGGGCTCGCGGAGACGGCCCACGCCCTCGCCACCAGTGGCGAGCGTCTCGCCGTGGGCACCGACAGGCGTGCCTCCACGACGGCAAGGGCGATCCCCGGGGAGAGGTCGAGAGGCAAGGGGGCCAACGCTTCGAAAGCGCCGGGCCGTCGGGGGTCGGGCCCAAGACGTTCCAAGTCGGCCCGACCACCTCAGCGGGCATCAGTAAGCACCAAAGACCCCCCCTTTCTTGAGGAAGGGAGGGGTCTCGGTGCCTATTGAAGAGGTCGGCCCAGCCCCGCCTTCTTGAAGGAGTAGGCACCCAACCATCCCCTTCTTGAAGAAGGGGTGGGCCGACCTGGAACCTTCTGGGAGAGGAGCAAGTGGCAGTTCCCCCTCTCTGCTGCCGTCTGCTCCTCTCCTCTCTCGGATGGCCGCAAGACTCTCCAGAACGGCCCCACGGCTCTCGAAGGAGTGTCACGATGGGCACGAGAGGCCCTCAGAGAGCCACCCAGAAACCCAAAATGGCCCCGAGAAGAACCCCACGAGGGCGGTAGACGGACCTGAATATACGACGAACTGCGCGTCGAAGCCGTGCTTCCGCACACCCACCGATTTTGGAGATTTGCATGACGAACTCCAGTCTAGGGCTGTACAATGACATCGAACCCGTATTTGAAGCAGGTGCTCTAGTCAGGTGGTAACTTGAAACCGATGCTCCACACCAGCCGCACACGCCAGGCAACATTACAAAGATGGTGGGTTCATTGAAATAACGATTACGCGCCGTGCGAGCGGTTTGTGTAGTGTTCACTTTGCGCAAGAGGATGCGCACGTGCGCGCATGAAGCAAATGGCTCCACCAGCACGGAACCAATGCCTGAATCAGACATCGCCTGCCAGAGGACGTTTAAAGGTGTAGTCACATAGGATGGCGCAGACGGTCAGTCAGAGATAATTCGCACTGAAAAAATGTGTTTCCTTATGTTAGCAGTATCTGCACGTTTGAATGTGTGTGTGTTGTTGTGTTCGTTCGTCGTTGGCGAGATCTCCTCTGGCCAACCCTTCAGGCCCTACTTACCAACCACCTTCTACTCGCATCAACATATCAAAATTCGCTCACGGGTGCCTGGGAACACGGCTCACCTTCTGCCCCCTGGCCTCCCGCTTCCTGTTCGGCTCATGCCAGATAACGTCGCCTGGAACGTCCTTCTTGATCATGGTGCCTTCTGTGTTCCCGTATATTTCCTGAGCGTCTTTCAGGTCGCCGATGGCAGCCCATGCGTCTGACTTGGGCGACTGCTCCACAAACGACAAGGCAGCCTCGATCTTCGGGCCCATTGAGCCAGGAAATTTGGCACCTGCTTGCACGCTTCTGAGGTACGAGGCTGATGCCATCTTCATCTCACGCGCATGTGGCTTCCCGAAATTCTCCCAGATGCCGCCGCCATCGGTCATGATGATCAGGGCGTCGGCGTCGAGCGAAAGGGACGCCAAGGCAGCGCAATGGTCTTTGTCGATGACTGCCTCCAAACCCTCAAAAGCACCCGAGGGTATGTTTGCAAACGCACTGCCCATGCGCGTCACGGGAACGCCCCCACCACCACACACGATTGGCAATGGCCCATTTGGCGTCTGCGTCTTCAGCAGTGTCTTCACAGCATCGATCTGCAGGATCTTCAGCGGGGGCGGCGACGGCACTACGCGGCGATAATATTCCCCATCCGGCTTCACGGTCCATCCCAATGCCTGTCGTAACGCCTCGGCTTCCTTAGCGCCGTAAACCGGTCCGACAAACTTCGTAGGATTTGAGAAGGCCGGGTCCGCAGGATCGACGATGACCTGAGTCAACAAGGGCACGGCTATCACGTTGATGCTCGCGAAGGCCTGGCTGAAGATGTATCCGATCTGCCCCTGCGACTCGGCACCGAGCACGTCGAAAGTCGCAGCCGACCGCTCGAGCGCCAGTTCGCCCACTTGCGGACCGTTCCCATGTGTCAGCACAACCTCATGCTTCTCCATGAGGCCCTTGATCGCTGGCGCAGCATCACCTCGAGCGGCCTTGAGCTGGTTTTCGATGGTCAATCGCTCGCCGCGGCGAATCAAAGCATTTCCACCGACTGCCACCATGAGTCGCAATCGCTTCGTCTCATCATCACGAGAGTGCTCCGCAACGCTGGTCCCGCTCTCGCTGCAGAAGAAGAAACGACCTCTTGCGACTGCGCGGCCGCATCGACGAGCCACCGCAGAACCCATCGCCTTGTGCACCAACATGATGGTCGTACAGGCTGAGGGTCGCGTGCGCGCGCAAGAAGATGCACAGTTGCAATCACGAGCCAGAATGCCTTCAGTGCGTTTAAGTGGAGGTTAGTTTGCAAGTCCAGTGGTTCCCTGCGGCGAATGGGGAACTTTCAGAATAGAGGGGATGGTCGCGCAATTGTGTGCGAAGAGTGAGCTGCACCAAAACTGTCACTCAAAACCCATCGCACCACCCAATGCCAACTCAAAACTGTTCTGGTCGACCAGGGTCGGCAGAGGACATGTCACGAAGTGGCCCGAGGCCCCCTCATTGCACCGCAGGGGTGGTTTTCGAGATAGCCATTCTGCATCACAATGGATGCAACGCCACACGATGAAGTGCGGTGTAAGCCAGTGTGAGGCGATGTGGGTGTGCATCGATTTTTATCTCTGGTGCCACGCGCCGCAAGCAGCTCAATCACTCGAGATGCGAACATAGAGAGATGCGCTCCACGCATTCCGGTTGGCGAGCTCACACGAAGGCCGCGTGCGGACACAAGCAAATCAGGCACCTTGAGATCGGGCGCGGCAACAGTTCAAGCACCCTGAGGTGCGAACACAGAGGAATGCGCTCCACGCACATTGTGCTTGCAGTTTCAGGTACTGCCCGTAAGCAGAGCATCCGAGCTGCTGAAATACTGAATGCGGGAGCAGTGCAAGCCTATGCGAAGTAGCAGAGCACGGCCAGAGCTAGATTTGTTCTGGACTGGCCAGCCATTGCTGTGCATGGCCTCTCTGGCGCGCGAGCAGCTGCTTCACAGACCAACCTTGGCCCACATATTCCTCACGAAGTCCTGCGCGACCAGCGTGATCATCGAGAGGGGGGCGGTTCGCATGAAATACGTGGGGAAGCCGGCGTAAAACCGAAGCGGCCCACCAGCAGCCATTGTCTTGACTACACAGTCCACGGGGCCCTTGTAGGGCATCTGCTGGGTGACCGGGTCTGCCTTCATCTTCTGTATCTGCGTCTTCACGAAGTCGAACGGCAGCGAGAAGAATGCACCAAAGAAGCCGCCGACAGCCGCAGCCCCGAAGATCTGTGCGCCCCCCCCGGGCGCGTATCCCAGGCTTGCGATGTGCTCCTTCGCCTTCGAGCTGAAGGACAGCATGCCGAAATTGAGGGCCATGGCGCGCGTCGCCGTAGCGGCGGCTCCCTTGAAGAGGCCCGCCGACGACTCCTCCGCCACGATCACGCGCAGCGCGTGGAACACGTGCCTGGTGTCTTCGTGAGTATGTTTGTGAGAAGCGTGACTGTCTACTGAATGCAGCGCTACATTCGGGGGCGGCCAAGAGGGGGGCGTCCGGGGGCGGGGGGGGCGCAAATCATGGCCGGCAGTATGTGCGCGGCCCAGGGGGGGGCCAGGGTTGCAATGAAATACAAAGAGGCGCCATGAAATCTGAGGAAATATCATGGCCCACGCAATCGTATCCCCCCCTTCTAGTCATCACCCCTCTCTCTACCGCCCCCGATCTACTAAATGCAGCGCTACATACGTGTGTGTGTGTGTGCCCTTTTGGAAGCGAGGGCCGGGACCTAGAAGCCAGACCCCTCCTGTCTCAGAGGCCATCGCCCGAGCCCTCGACAGCATCATTTTTCCACACTTGGCTTCCCATCCTGGGCTTGTCTCTCGAGAATTGGAAGCTGGGCGAGGGCTGGCAAATGCGTGGCTGCTAAAACGGTCTTCCCGGATGAAAAAACAAATTCCCGGAATCAAGCTCAAGGCACTAAATAGTAAACGGGCTGATTCTTGGAAGAAAAAACAATTTCTGTGAGCTCCGTTTTAGCAGCCACGGGTTTGCCAGGCTTCGGTCGGCTTCTGAGAGAATATGGGGCCTCAGCTGGGCCCAAATGGAAGCCTGACGCTAACAACAAGGTGCGCCGAATAAGCAAACTAACATAACACAAAACGAATGCTGTGCCTGTAGCCGCGTCGCTCTGCCTCAGGTAATAGAGCGTCAGACTGCATGCGGATGAGAGACAGGTCCGCGGGATTCCCCACCACCGCTGCGATGCCGCCCGCGCTCAGCGCACAGATCGCCATGCAGACTTTTTGGGGGCCCGTGCAAAGATTGCCACTGCTACCTAGCGCTGCTTCATGCTATCTGGGATCCGAGGCTTGGGTTTGTGAACATCCACTTCGTGGGGGGCCAACCTTCCTGGATCTCGGTGAAACGGTGGAGAGGGATAGTATCGGGGCTCCCAGGGCCTCTAAAGATCCCGAACTATCTATCTCCCTGTGTCTCTCTCTCTCTCTCTCGCTCTCTCTATATATATATATATGATAATGATGGTGATGAGGATGATGATGGTGTTCCGGCGGTGATGATGGTGATGATGGTGATGACGACGATGATGGTGTCCCGATGATGATGATGGTGTTGATGGCGAGGATGATGATGAGGTGATGATGATGAATTTGGTGATGGTGGCCCGGTGATGATGATGCGGATGATTGTGATGATGGTGCCCCGGTGATGATGATGGTGGTGATTATGATGATGGTGACGATGATGTTGGTGTCCCGACGATGATGTTGATGTTGATGAAGATGTTGCTGATGATGGTGATGGTGTCCCGATGGTGATGATGTTGATGATGTTGTTCATGAAAATGATGAGATGATGATGAGGATGGTGGTGTTCCGATGATGATGATGATGATGATGATGATGATGGTGTCCCGGTGATGACGATGTTGATGATGATGATGGTGACGATGATGGTGTCCCGATGGGGATGATGATGGTGATGATGATGATGCTGATGGCCATGGTGGCGATGATGATGGTGTCCCGATGGTGATGACATTGATGATTCTGATGATGTTGATGATGATGAGATGATGAGATTATGACATTATGGTGATGATGAAGATGATGATGATGATGGTGTCCCGATGGTGATGAGGTTGATGATGATGCTGTTGATGATGATGATGATGATGGTGATGATGATGATGATGACGATAACGGTGTCCTGATCATGATGATGGTGATGATGAGGATGATGATGACGTGATGCCGATAATTTTGATGGTGGCGTCCGGATAGGGATGATGCTGATGCTGATGATTATGATGGTGTCCCGATGGTGATGATGATGATACTGGTGATGATGATGGTGTCCCGATTATGATGATGATGATGTTGATGGTGATGTTGCGGATGATGACAGTGTCGCGATGATGATGTTGATGATGTTGTTCATGATGATGATGAGATGGTGGTGGTGATCGTGGTGTTCCGATGATGATGCTGGTGTCCCGATGATGATGTTGATGTTGGTGATGATGATGGTGACGATGATGGTGTCCCGATGATGACGATGCTGCTGATGATGATGATGTTGATGATGATGGTGATGAGGAGATGATGATGGTGTCCCAATGATGATGATGCTGATGATCATGATGATGATGATGGTGTTGATGACGTTGATGACGATGATGTTGATGATGATGGTGACATTCATTGTGAGATCGATTGTGATATCCATGGTGAGATCGATAGTGGGACCTAATGCGAGTACGATCGTTAGTGAGAGCGATTGTGAGATCAATGGCCAGATCGATTGTGAGATCGATCGAATGAAGTAGATCGATTGAGATCGATTGTGAGATCGATCGAAGGAGATCGATCGAGTGAGACCGATAGCGAGATCGATAGACCGATAATGAGATCGATAGTGTGATCGATAGTGAGACCGATCGAGTGAGACGTTGGTTCCTCTCCCCCCCCGAACCTCCTTATCACCCGAAGGGTGGTCGTACAGGTCTAAATATAGATGTATATATATATGTATATATATATATATATATATATATATACGGATGTATTTGTACATATCTATATATATATATATTATATATATATGGACCCCACCGAAATCGGACCCATCGAACCCAGGGCCCCCTGGACCCTCTAGACTCCCCGGATCCGTCGCCCGGGGGAACCCCTGGGATCCCCTGCAGGAGGTCCCCCAAGCGTTTCAAAGCTCCTGGAAGCCTTTGGTGGGCCTAGGCAATGGGCCAAATCGGTCAGGAGGGCGGCCGAACGCCCCCCGAGGGCCCCTAGAGACCTCAGACACCCACCAAGCGCCAGAAGACGACCCAAAGAAGACCTCCAAGAGGCTTCCAAAACGCAGAAAAACAGTGATTTCACAAAGTTGTTGCATGATTTGTGGAATGCCCTGTACCGCCTGGGAGGCTCGAAAGTCGCCCCAAAACCATCCGAAAGGGCTTCCAGGCAGTCCAAGCGAACCCCAAGACGGCACAACAGGGTTTCAAGATGGCCTGAAAGAGCCCCATGACGCCCAAGATGGCCCCAAGACACCCTCCGAAGCATTTCAAATCGTGACCCGGTCGTTCAGGGAGACCGCGGTTGGAGGCAGGGTGGCCCGAGGAAGCCCCCAGAGGGCTCCAGAAGATGCCCAGGAGGCCTCCAGAAGGCCTTAAGAAAGCATGAACAACTTCCGTTATGCCCCCAGAGGCCTTCCAAGGAGGAGCCTCCGCAAAAAGAGCTGAGGAGGATGGGGAAGAATTCGCAGGGTAGCGCGAGAATGAGGAAACATCAACATGGAGGAAGGAAAACGAGTAACATTATTATAACGGCGATGCCCGAAAACGCAACAAGGAGTTATACACACACACATATATATATATATATATATATATAACTGTCTGTTTGACCTTCCGTCCGTTCCACCTGCATGCCAAACTTCAAGGACCAAGGTGCATGGCGCGAAGTGCCAATGCAGTCTTGTGGGTGTGTACATATACACACTAGAAGCACGCGCGCGCTACGCGCGCGCTTAGATTCTAGTCGCAGGTGAGGCACGAGTGCCGCTGTAAGCCCCAGTGCGGTCACAGCGACGATTTCCAGTGTTCTCGGACCCATGCCATCGACGCAAAGAAACGCGTAGTCAGAACGCTCTCGCTTTGCCGGGGCCGCCTTTGAGGAGGTGGAGGGAGAAAGCAACTTGTGAACTGATAGGGTATAGCGATGCCCCGCTCGCTCTGGCGGGGCTTGTCTGGCGCTCTGGCGGAGCCGTCCCAGGAGAGGAGGGAGGACCACGAAAGCTGAGGGGTGAGGGAAGGAAGAGGAGAGAGGAGGAAATGAAGGCAAGGGGAGGGGGCGGGAGGGAAGGAGGGACGAAGGGGGGAGGCCCGGGACATCTAGGCCGTCTCGGAGCGCTCTGGGGCCTCCCGCTCCCGCACTGTGGCCCAGCTTGGGCCTGTCCTGGGGCTCTCTTGGGCCGCCTTGGGGCTCTTTTGGGTGCCTCTTCGGTGGTCTTGGGGCGGTCCTGAAAGCGTCTGCGGCCGTCTTCGAGCATTGGAAGCTCCAGAACGCGAGAAAGCGTAACACATCGAACAAACCAATGCACATCAATGATGTGGGCCTCTTTGGGTTCTCTCGGGACGTCTCTCGGAGCTCTCTTGGGCCATCTTGGAAGCCTTTTGGAGCTACGTTTTTGCCGTCTGGAGCTCCTCTTGGGCCACGTTGGAACCATCTCGGCCGTCCTGGAGCGCCTTGGGGCCTCCCGCTGCCGCTCTGTGGCCCAGCTTGGGCCTGTCCTGGGGCTTTTTTCGGCAGTCTTGGGCTGCTCTTGGGCAGTCTTCACGCTGTCCTGCGCCGTCTTGGGGCTCTTTCTGGGGCCTCTTCGGCGGTCTTGGGGCGATCTTCGGGGTGTCTTCGGCCGTCTTGGAGCGTTGAACGGTCGAGAACGCGAGACAGCGAAAACATAGAAACAAAAACGACCGTCAGGGATGTGGGCCTCTTCGGGCTCTCTCGGGACGCCTCTCGGAGCTCTCTTGCGGCCTCTTGGAAGCCTGTATTTGCAGTGTTGGGCCCATCTGGGCCGTCTTGGAGCGCCTTTGCGCCTCCCGCTCGCGCTCTGTGGCTCAGCTTGGGCCTGTCCTGGGGCTCTCTTGGGCCATGCGGGGCTCCTCCTGGGCAATTTTCGAACTCCATGGGGCCGTCTTGGGGCTCTTTCTAGGGCCTCTCCGGCAGTCTTGGGGCGATCTTCGGGGCGTCTTCGGCCGTCTTGGAGCGTTGGAAGGTCGAGAACGCGAGAAAGCGAAAACGTACAAAAAAAACAAATGGAAATCAATGATTAGGGCCTCTTCGGGCTCTCTCGGGACGCCTCTCGGAGCTCTCATGCGGCCCCTTGGAAGCCTCTTGGGCCGTGGGGAGTCCTGGGGAGGTCCTGGGGGCGTCGTCGGCCGTCTTGGAGCGTGGGAAGGTCGAAAACGTGAGAAACCGAACACACAGTTAAAAACATATGAAAATCAACGATCAGGGCCTCTTCGGGCTCTCTCGGGATACTTCTCGGAGCTCTCTTGAGAGCCTCTTGGAGGCCTCTTGGGCTGTGTATTTGCCGTGTTGGGCGGAGCGTCTTTGCGCCTCCCGCTCGCGCTCTGTGGCTCAGCTTGGGCCTGTCCTGGGGCTCTCTTGGGCCATGTGGGGCTCCTCCTGGGAAATCATTTCAAACTCCCTGGTGCCGTCTCGGGGCTCTTTTGGGGGCCTCTTCGGCGGTCTTGGGGCGGTCTTGGGGCGTCATCGACCGTCCTGGAGCGTCGGAAGGTCAAGAACGCGAGCAACCGAAAAACATGTTAAAAAACAAATGAAAATCAATGATCAGGGCCTCTTCGGGCTCTCTCGTGATGCTTCTCGGAGCTCTCTTGAGGCCTCTTGGAGGCCTCTTGGGCTGTGTAATTGCGGTCTCGAACCCATCTTGGGCCACGTTGGGGCTATCTGGGCTGTCTTGAAGGTGCTCGTCGAAGTCCCCGAGGGCTTCTGGGAGCTCTCTGGGGCAGTCTGGGAGCTCCAGGGCCGCTCTGGGGTGCTCGGGGAGCGGTCTGGGAAACCCCGGTCCTCCCATGCCCTCCCAGGATATATATCTATATATATATATATATATATAGATATGCGTGTGTGTATCCAATTCCACAGCCGTTTAGGGTCCTGGGAGCTTGGCTCCCCGTGTAGCAGACTTCTTGCATGAGTCCTGGCCTCGGAGCGG